GTGTTCGAATCACCCCAGCCAGGGGGCACCTCACTCTAGCTGGGCTGGGGAGGGACAGAACTGCACAGACACTCTTGATAAGAGCTCAAACATGCCTTCAGCTCTGGGAACTTCCTGCAACTGCAGGAGCGCCATGGGTGCTGCCTTCAGGGTTTAGCTCTGAACACAGCATAGAAATGAGCCTGGCAATCCTGTAAGCCCTCCATAATAGGTTTGCAACCCTCGCTCCTTCACAATCCCCATTTGTGGCAATCCCAGACATGATATCAAATCTTCAAATATAATAAGGACTGTTATAGAGATGTTGGCAGTCAGTGGTTCTCCATGCCCATTGAAAGGAGGACAAGAAGTAATGGCCTTAATCTGCAGCAAGAGAGATTTATGCTAGACATTAGGAAACTATAAGAGTAGTTAAGCAATGGAATAGGCTGTCAAAGGAGGTTATAGAATATTCCTCAACAGTGGACATTTTTCAGAATGGGTTGGGCAAAAAACAGTTAGGGATGGTGGATGTGTACTTGATCCTGCCTCAGTACAGTGGCTGGACTAGATGACTCTTGAGGACGCTTCTAGCCCTAAATGTCTGTTACCTATGGTCCCTGTTATGGGCTGTGTTTCAAACAGAAAGGGCCAGTGACAGGGTCGGGAGAAGATCTGATTTTTCAGAATCTCACCAGAGTGAGTTTTGTTTCATAAAATTAAAACTAGGACAAAGGAGCAGCTTGGATCTAACTACCCCCCACATTGTTCAAAGAAAAGACTTCATTTTGGGCAAATCTCTTAAGTATACCATGGTACATTTTCCTTTACAGTAAGTGTATGCCATAAGTAGTCCTGATTCAGTACGGTACTTAAGTGTGTGTCCTTTCAAACAGATGAGCAGCTTCACAGACTAGAATGGAACAACTCACAGGCTCAGAGTTATATGTGTATTCCTCTGGATCAGAGCTGTATAATCATGAGTTCATCCTGTGTACCAAATCCTCAGTTGGCATATGGTGCCATATTTCCACAGAAGGCAAAGAAACGACATCAGTTTACACAAGCTCAGGATATAGCCCTACGTATTCTCCAATGATAATGAGGTCATACCACAACAAAGACCTGATCTACAGTTCACTGAAGTCAATAGAAACACAGACTGACTTTGGAGGGATTGACTTTGGAGGGATCTGAATCAAACAATAAGTGTAGTCCCTTTATTAAAGGTGCTTCTGGCTTTTTCTAGGAGGATCCTGTGTGCAGCAATCTAGCCCTAGAGACTACAACTCCCATGAGCGCTTGAGGAAACCAGGAAGGGAAGGCTTGTCCAGGCATGCGGAGAGAGGGTCTCAGAGTCTGGGATTCTCCATTTTTGGGGGGGCACAGAGGAGCCAGGCTGCTTTGGAGGAGCCTTATCCAGTCCAGGAGCTGTTATGTTGCAGCAACATCCTGGATCTGAGAGCCTTTGGGACTTGGATCTAGCAGGCTGCTTCTGGGGCAGCTGATTTCCCTAGAGGAGAGAGAGTCTGGCTGTGCCTGTGGCTCAAAAGGACTACACAACAATCAGCACACAAAAAGAGGCTGTAAGTAAATGGGCTCTTTGGGAAAGTGCTGCCTGGGTTTAGACTAACTCTGGGTCCAAAGAGAGGCAGAGTGTCCAACCCAGGGAACCAGAACTGCTGGCATTTGGTGGAGCCTGCTTCAGTGGCAGAGGGAGTTTGGAGCTGGCTGCACAGCTTGGACTAGCACACCCACAATCTACAGAGAACCTCCACTCCAGCTACAGATCTTCAAGCGCACTCACGCAAGCAAGTGTCTGGGACTCTGAGTCCAGAGGAGTGCACACTCTGGGGTGGGATAAATGGTGGCAGTGCAAATGCCAGCTAGATAAGTTCCTATTACTTCTTGTTAATTGATTTTATTCACTGTTAATCTGTTAAACCCTGTTTCTTTAAGTTAAGTAAAGGTGTGTTCATTCTAATGTAATCAATGAGATGTATATTATTTATAATTTGTAATTGTTGTTCTGGAGCTAAATCCAAATTATTGATGGAATAATTGTATTCCTGGAGGCTCCCAAGGAACACCGTTAAGTGTGTACAGGGCCAACCATGTGGAGGCATCGCCACTGTATATTCTTTATGAACAAGGGAATGCTGCGAGGAGGTAGATAAGGAATCCCCAACTAAACAACATCACCACTGGGGTACTCAGGATCTCCTTTTAGGTTAAAACCATCAGGTGACCAGACACACCTGTGAGTGTGACCTGCTCCGAGTAACCGAGGATATGTCTACACTACAAAGTTAATTCGAACTAACAGCCATTAGTTCAAATTAAATTTCATAGGCGCTACACATGCAAACCACTACTTCGAACTTAATTCAAACTAGCGGAGCACTTAATTCGAACTAAGTAAACCTCATTCTATGAGGACTAACACCTAGTATGAATTAAGTAGTTCAAATTAAGGGCTGTGTAGCCACTTAATTAAAACTACTTGGAGGCTAGCCCTTCCCAGCTTGCTCTGGTGGCCACTCTGGGCCAACCCAGGGAAACTCTTCTGCCCCCCACCCGGCCCCGGAGCCCTTAAAGGGCCACGGGCTGGCTACAGTGCCCGTGCCACGTGCAAGCCTGCCAGCACCCAGCCAGCAGACCCTGCACCTGGCACGATGCCCCCCAGCCCTCCCCCTCTTCCTGGGACCAGGCTGGCGGCTCCAGGGAGCTTGCCCGGGACCGCAAGAGGCGGGCACCCGCCTGGGCTAGTGCGGACATCGTGGACCTTGTCCACGATCTCCGCACTAGGCA